TTTATGTCCTATGCTTAAAATATTTTCTTTATTGTCTGATGGAAAGCTGATTTTATCCCCCTGCAACCTACATTCAAGTAGCCTTTAGGTAGCACTGGCAGTAGAGCATGAATATTTATTCATTTTAATCATTAAAAGTAATAGTGAAACTTTTAAAATACAGCACCAAAAATCATCCCAGTTTCTGACCTTTTAAAGCTGTCTTTTCATAATGTACAGTTTTAAGTTTTCTTATGAATCCCTTAACATCTTAAATTTCCCATTGAAAGCATAAGTGTCTTTGAACATCCTCCAGTTGGATTTTGAATAATGAAATTCAAGGCTATAGTTTTGTGTGCTGTAGTTGTAGAATTGCCATGTTTTGTTTTCTGAAGTTAAATGGGTATTCTTCAAGAAACTAGTCTTGCCCCTTCCCTGCAATCATGGTAAATTTTGTGATTGATTAGGTGTAGAGGCATTTGGTCTTTATAAAAGCAGAGTGTTTTGTGACATCATGACCCAAAAGGATGAATGTTGGTAGGGATTTAATGCTTAGATACCTCCAGGAAGAGTCCTGTGCTCTTAACTTTTACATAGATAGCATGAATTGCTAGGGACAGAACAATTCAGGGAAAATGTACATATTTAAATTTTTATATTAAAACGGTGGGATTCATAATACAGCTTTTCATAAAAGCAAGTGGTCATGGTTCAACTTAATGGCTGGTAAATTGTACTGCATCCTATCCATTTCAAGCGCAGAACAAAACCATCTTTCAGTCCTAACTGCCAGGAGGGGTAAGTGCAAAAGTTAAGCTAGCCAGGTTTATTCATAAACTGACTCTGGCCCTCTGCGGGAGACTCCTGTTCTTAGATATATTTTTAGCGTGTATTTTTTTTCCTAGGCAAGTGTTATGCAAAACAGGGTACAAATATGAGTTGAAAATAGGATGTGTAGGAGCAGTATGGCCAGTAGATGGGTTTCATTATCTTAGACTATACTTAAATATTGTTCTGTGCATCTTTTTATCTTTATTTAATTAAGCATTAGAGATGAAACTCTTACATCAATATGTGCTACTTTCTCTTGTTAAAAAGAACAAAGTGATCAGCCTACTGAGCTTTTTAGCTTACATATCCTTCCAGTTAAACTGTTTATTGTTAGGTTTGAATTGGAGAGAGATGAAAAAAGGCAGGAGGTGTTTACTTATTTTAGGGTCTGTGAAATTAAGGTATTGGAACTGAAAGTCTGGTTTTCTATTTAAAACAAACAAATTGTCAGTCATGATTGTAGCTTTTGAGAAAATGCTAATGGGGTAATACTGTGTTTGATGCTGCTCCTCTGCTCAGCAGCTTCCAGCAGCTTGGAGCTAAAGCCAGCTGTGTAAGACAGGCATCTGCTAAAAGTGAGTGCTCTCAGTATAGTTTGAGTCCTGCCAAGAGCCTCAGCTTGCTAAAGGTAGGAACATTTTTTGTCTAGCTAGATCCTTGCAACTTCTCTACTGCTCTTTGCATCTGCTGATGGTACTGAATGGGTTTATTCCCCCCTTACAAATGTTATTGCCTGTTTGGTTGATATGTAATACCCTACAGAGGATGTTGTGTTGCTGTAATTATTCTGAAGACATTGTTTCTCTGTATTGAGTTCCAGTGTCCGAATATGTTTCTTGCACTCTAAAGTACATTAACTTTTTCATTCTAATTTAATAAATGTACCATCTGAATGAAAGTGTATTATGTCTCTGTTGGAGAGCACCAGAGTGTGAGTCTTTACTGATCTAAAATTCAAGTATTGGTTACTGTCTTCTATTCAGTGTTGAACATTGGTTGGCAAACTACACTGCTTCTTAATGTGACCATCTAGTGGGAACAGTAACAGTAAATGCTCAAAAGTACTTTGAGAACTCTTCTACAGGTAGGTGCCTCTTTCTGACTCTTCTAGGGGCTGCTTTCTCAAGGAAATATGCTGGTGTTGCGTATTGAGGACAGAAGAAGGCAGTAGTGATGCTGCATTGTTTGAAAGACAGCATTGGAGAGCAGGGGAGGAGGGAAGAATGGCACATGGGTATGGAGGGAATGCTGCAGTGCGAAGGATTGAGGACTCTGGATGGGAGTGGTGTCCAAATGAAGAGTTATGAAATGGACCATGTGTGCTATTCCAGCTAGAAAAAGAGTGGGTTTTATCTGCTAATATATGATAAATGAATTTGAAAGATTTGGTTTGCATAGCATCTCTTTCTAGGGCTGTGGTGACAAAGGTATCTGGGGCCCTCTCTCACTTAACAGCATCACCATGCACAGTGATAATTGTGATTAATAAGCAACTGCTAGTTTGAAGTATTACTATATTATCAAGCTAAGATTTTGGTATTTACTGTCCATTCATAGTGTGCTTTTTTCTCCTAATCAAGAGTTTTGGGTTTTTTAACAAATAATAGTTTGGAGGAATCTTTCACAGCTGATTTTTCTTTTTTTCCTTAAAGTATTGAGTACCTACTATGAAATAAAACTATGTTAAAATTGTGCTTTATTCTAACCCTTGAGTATCACTTTCTATTCCACTTTATCTTCAGAGGTTACAGTTTGCTTTCACATTTCTCCATTTTGCTGTGAGAGATAGGAGGAGTGAAAATTAGTTTACTTCAAACAAATGTTGGTGTTCTTGTGGCTGCTGAAGCTGCTGAAGCATCTATTTAGCATTTTGTATTTTTATTAGCTTTTTCATTTCAGTGTTAATCAGTGATGATGTGTGGGGGTATAAAGAGAAATCAGTATATTTTGAATTATTAAAACATTTCAGAACATCAGTGTGAGCAAGGCCTCTAGAAGAAATGCAAATATGTGTTTTCTCAGAATAAGAAGGAAAAATGAAAACCCATATTAGAAATCTTCTCTGCAGTTTTGAGTTGTAGCCTACTGAAGACTTGAGATTTCTAGATCCTCAGGAAGCTTAGTCAGAAACCCAAGTTTATCTATTTTCATGCAGCAGTATATTTTAGAAGTATTTTCTTTACTATCTTGCCAAAAAGCATAATTAATTTCATAAGATATACTTGGGTTATACCATAACTTTTGAAGGAAAATTTGCATATAGATGAGAAAAGTGAATTTGTGGAAAGCAAGTAGATTGAAAATTATCTGTGCTACATATGTGTTTCCATGGATGAGAGAATTATAAATGTACTACTATTTGAAATATTCAAAGATTTCACTCAGAACATGTTATTAAAACATTTCAGTGTACAAAAAAAATGAGAATTTTTATAAGTTTAATGTATTTACCATTGAAAGAGAATGAAGGATAATTAAATTTATTTAAAATTATCTCCAATTGTAAAATAACTCCAGTGAATTACACTTTCCATGTCTCTGCGGTCCATGTTTCTCTATGGATTACCAGGCACTTAACACTCACAGGACAATGTTTTTCTGGTTTAAATTTGTTACCTCTGTAATAGTCATCAGTTTAATGTGAAGTATTAAGTTGATTTAAAATGCTTAAAGCTTTTTTAAAAATTATTCTTTAAGTAGTTATAAAAGGGGGTAATGGTTACAAATTCCTGCCTGGTAGGCCAGGATACTCCTCTGCGACTGCCCCACCTTCCCAGGTGCCCGTGTCTAATAGGTACAAGGCTCTGCAAGGGGAAATGAAAGGATGAAGATAATGGTTCATCTCTGTAGGAAGATTCACTAAGGTGAAGGTCCCCTATGCGCAGTGTTGAAACTGCTTCCAGAAGGAAAGATGAGGCACTGGCACAGGAAACCCTCCAGTGAGGGGAACAGAAGGTCCAATTTCCTGGCAAGCCCCACTTCATAGGGAAGTCATCTGCTTCCCTGGGGCCTGGGTTACAGATGAGATGAGGAAACTTTCAGCTCTGGTACAGCCCTTGGATTATTATCCATTATTGCTTTCTCATGTAGGCAATTAGGAAGTTTGCAATATGAAGGCCAAGGACGATCAGAAGAGGTTTTGGGGCCTTGGGACACCTGGTTACTATGGGATCAGGAGCATGAGTAGTGTTCTTCTTTATCCTTCCAGTTGCAGGGAATGGTGAGGGAAGAAACAAGAAGAACCAGCAGATTGATACTTGGTGGCAACAGCTGGGTACACCTGTCTCAGACAAGAGAGAAGGATCTTTGCAGGGGGGTGCAGTGCTTGTTGAAAGAGCATTAAAGTGGATTGAAGGAGAAAAGAGCTAAACCCAGGCTTGCTGGACATAAGCCTGGTGGCCACCCAGCAGTGTTAGACCGATGGAATGGTAGCAAGATCCTCCACACTGCTTCATGATGTGAGTATGCTGGAGCACATTTGAAATACATACAGTACATGCAGCATGAGGAACAAACTAAAGGAGGTGGAAGTGAGCAGATAAGAGGAGCAAAGTTTTTCATCTTTTATGCCATTGGGAAGAGCTATTTTGACATTGGTGAAGGAATTTTACCTAGTTCACGAAGAGGGCTGTATTCCCAAAGACTGGTCGAGAATATACCCCTCTGAGTCAGAAAACTTCCTGATGCCATTCCATGGACTCACTGTCTTTTAGGTAAAGAAGATGGGTACTGAGCAGTCACAATAACTGAAAAGTACTTAAAGTTTTAGTGATCAAATAAAACAGCTTTGTCCCTGTTTTTGAGATGTGTTAGGACTAATATGTCTATAAAAAGAATATGCAATAATGCTTTCACTAGGATCAAGAAGTACAATGTCGTTGCAATGTTTTCTTGCTTTTTTTTTTAGAGGCTCTTGAATTCTTTTTTACCTCAAATATAGGTTTTGTGATAAAGCATGTGCTTGCATATTTCTGTAAGTTACATGAGGTATTTTGCAGTCATCTGGTTTTACTCTTCAATACTGTAACATTAAAAAAAAAACCCAAACACTGCAATTTAATTGACCTTTTTTTTAATTATTTTTACAAGTAAGTCATGAAAAAGGAATGTTAATGAAGGAGCACAATTTATTTTCAGGAAGACGTGATTCCAGCTTCTTTAGGGTCTCCCTTTTTCCAGTGATCATATCCTCAGCTGAGTTGCCATTGGGAACCAAGTGATACAGCCTGCTGCAATTGGGAGCCATATTTTCTAGATTGTTGGAATTGGGAGTCAGGTGCTGCAGTGGTTTCTGAAGGGCAAGCATTCACACACTGGCAGTTTTCCACGTAGAGATAGGTATAATTTATGCTGGTTCCATTTTGGCAAGTCAGGGTCACATCTCTTGTTTGGGTGCTGAGTTCCTGGCAGCAACCACACTCGTGTTCCATCTGGTTTGCTTCAAGAGAGTACCTGTGTTCCGCCAGGGGAAAAAATGCATCTTGTTAAAAACACTCAGAAAACCCCCTCAGTGATTTTTGTGTTTGGTTTGCTTTTGGGTTGGTTTTTTTTTTAATCCTTTTTTCCTCCTTGTCACACACACTTATGAAAGTGATTTTCGTTGTCTTCAATAGTAAAACTGTTCTTGCTTACATTGAATCCAATTCAATAATTCAATTCAGTGGAATCATATAAACACATTAACTTTGTTGCTGTTCTGCAATCATAGAACCATGTAGGTTGGAACAGACCTTTCTAATCGAGTCCCAGCACTACCCAGTCCACCACTAAACTGTGTCTCAAAGTGCTGCACCTGCATGTCTTTTAAATACTTGAAGGGATGATGACTGAACTGCTTCCCTCAACAATCTGTTCCAGTGCTTGACAACCATTTCAGTGAAGAAATATTTCCTAATATACAATCTAAACCCTTCCTGGTGCAACTTGAAACCATTTCCTCTCATCCTTTCACTTGTTACCTGGGAGAAGAGATGAACCCCCCCCCACTACATCCTCCTTTCAAGCAGTTGTAGAGAGTGTGAACATTTCCCCTGAGCCTCCTTTTCTCCAGGTTACACCTCCAATTCCCTCAGCTGCTCTTCAAGACTTGGGCTCCAGACCCTTCCCCAGCTCTTTTGCCCTTCTCTGGACATGCTTCAGTACCTCAATGTCTTTCCTTCAGTGAGAGGCCCAGAACTGGACACAGGACTCGAGGCATGGCCTCACTGTGGCCAAGTACATTGTCCTGGTCCTGCTGGCCATACTGTTGCTGATTCAGGCCGGGATGTTCTTGGTTGTCTTGGCCACCTGAGCACACATTGGCTCATGTCCAGCTGCTGTCACCAACATCCCCAGGTCCTTTTCCACAAGACAGCTTCCCAGCCCTTCTGCCTCAGCTGTCTGGGGTGGTTGTGGCCCAAGGGCAGGACACAGCACTAAGCCTCATTGAACCTCACACAATTATTGATAAAGATATACAACAGGACCGGCTGCAGCACTGAGCCCCAGGAAACACCACCGGTGACCATCCCCCAGCTGGACATAACTCCACTCAACATCACCCTCTGGACCTGGCCATCCAGGCCAGGAACAATTTTTTATGCAGTGAACAGTTCACCTGTCCAAGCTATGAGCTCCCAGCTTCTCCAGGAGAATGCTGTGGGAAGTGCTGTAAAAAACTTTATACAAGTCTGGGTAGACAATATCCACAGCCTTTTCCTCATCCCCTAAGTGGGTCACCCTGTCCTAGAGGGAGATCAGGTGGGTCAAGCAGCAGCTGCCTTTCCCGAACCCATCCCGGCTGGGCCTGATCCCCTTATTACCCTGTACGTACTCCATGATTACACTCAAGATAATCTGCTCTATATCCTTCCCTGGCACCAAGGTCAGGCTGACAGGCCTGTACTTGCCTGGATCCTCTCTCCAAACTTTACTGTAGATGAGCATCTCATTTGCTGGCCTGCAGCCAACTGGGACCTCCATAGTTAACCAGACTGTTGACAAATTATTGCAAGTAGCTTTGTGAGCACTTTCTCCAGCTCCCTCAGTACCCTTGCGTGATAAATTAACTTGACAGACCAGATAAAGGAAGCCACAGAGATGTTAAATGAATTTTTAGAACTTACATTGAGGAGCTAGGACAAGTTCCTTCACAGTATGAGACCTGAACAGGTCCAGAAGACTCACAGTCAGCATGGCGGATCACAGTTTCCTTGGTGTAAGGCTTGCAGGTTTTAGCTTCATAAAAAAGGGGGAGGAGAGAAAATATACTTCAGTTCTGTAGTTCTGAACTAAGGGAACTGTAAACCAGTTTCAAAGTGCTTGATGTCTGATTACTGAGAATCTGCAGTATGTGATGGGATGGGTACTGTGTAATTTATATGGAGTTGTCAGATTATTTGATTTTGGCTGTAAAGTGCCTTTGGAAGATAATGCAGAGGCTTGAGTATTGCTGGTTTGACTTGTGGTATTCAGTATCAGGAAAAAAATTGAGTTTTTCTTTTGAATAAACAGTAAAACACAAGATCTTCTTAAATAGACTATGTGAAAACAGGGTGAGTGAAGAATCTTTCCATCCACTCAAAGATAGTTACAGGTTGAACAGAGTGCTCTTCAGGCAGAACACATAAACACAGCATTACTTACGTTTACATATTTTGCAGCAGCCATCAGATGTAATCTCTGTTTCATCCTATGTAAAAGAAGGAGGATTTGTATTAGTACATGGTTGACAATCATGAGTAAGTATATTAGTTAGCACTACTGATACTGGGCAGAAGGCTTCTCTGGGATGAACCCTGAATGAAACAATGGATGTCTTACTGTCCTCACCACAGGAGTCTTCAATACTTGTAGCCTCATAAGAAAATACTATGCTTTTCTTATTATTAATCACAGAGCAAGCCTAGTTTCATTCTTAAGGCATTGCTGCAACTTCAGTGGAAGTGATTTGTTGTATTCTTCCTTGTCCCTCCTTGTTCATTTAAACTGAATTGAGTCAATGAAAGACTGATAAAAACTTACAGGATCACACTCTTCGGGGTCATGCTCAGGGCATACTCTTTTCGTTTGGACTGCAACAAACTGATCTTCAATTTTTTCACATTTGTAGTTGCTGCACTGATCGAGTGGCAGGATCTCATTAACCTAAGATAACATAATAAAAGCAAAAGTTGTTTTTTTTTCATTGTGATCAAGTATGTCTGAGCTAATTAAGTTCTCAGTCCTCAAAGATTCTCAGATGCTTCTGAACTTCTTTCAACTGGCAAAAATGAAATTCTACAAACTGTAGCTAGCTTGAAAGTTTAAATCCTGGCTCTGAACACTTAGACCATAAATTAGAAACCATTGCTCCATTAGCCACAAAAAATCGAGAATTTGATACCAAATATTGTTCAACTCAGAAAGCTGACACATTGTTTTTTGAAGTAATTTCAGTATTTTATTTTTACCAGTAAGGGACGTGAGTTGACTCTTAGCTGTTCTAACTTGTATGGGCTAACAGATAGATCTGAAAATAAAAAGAGTACTTACATTGAGGACGAAAAGAATACTTACATTGAGGACATGAACAGTGTTGTTACTGAGTTTGACTTTGCAAGCTACTTCAATACACTTCCCACAGCACTCTCCTTCCTCAATCATGTATTGGTAACCCTACTCAGAAAGAGATGAAAGAGAACGTATGTTGAATTGGTGATGGAGAATTCTAGTCTAGCTGACTGGGCAGCCTAGAGAACCTGAACTCACCAGTGGGCAAGATGTCTCACACTGAACTGTTTCACAATGCATAATGTTTGCATTAGTCTCTGGATCCTTCTCAGAACTGCAGGTACACTTCTTACATGAATCGATTACTACTGACTTTCCAACCTGCAAGACAGAAAAAAAAAACCTCAAAAAACATTCAGATGCCAACAGTTTCTGTGTCATATAAAGGCAGAGTTGGAAGCATTGCTGAGAACCATTGAGGTACGCAAGTATGACAGTTCTCAAATTCTTTGAACATAAAAATGTTTTGGCTTCATGCCTTGCAGGAAAGCTCATATTAAGGGGAAACCAAATGAAGCAATGTAAAAGGGAGCAGTAAATTATTACATTAAATTAAGATTGGTTTGTACTGTCTAATTATTTACCAGCTTTTTAATGCTCCATTTAAGAATACTTTTCCTCTATCAGTTATCTTCAGTGGTCATAAAACAATTATAATTTAAAAGCAGGGACTAAAATAGGCCTTTACATATGCAGATACCTAAGCAGAGATCTAAATTTACATATGGATTTTAGTCTTTCTGAAATGTATCCCCAAAGACTCCAGTGCTAATATTTAAATTATCAGTAAATGACCTAAGTACCAATTTTAGCAAAAGGGTTTAGGTATCAAATCAAAAATGTTAGCTTTGGTTTTTTAAGGTTTTCTGGGCTTATTTCAAAGAGCAATTGAGTTTGGGCTATTCATCAGATTGTCTGGCAAAGTCAGTGAGAGGAAGCTTAAAAAGAAAGTACATCATTAAAAATGGTACACTCTTCTTTTAATACTACTCTACGAGGAAGACTTCTGTGGCAAATTTGATTTTGACTCTAAATACCCAAACAACTTCCAGTTAAGGGCTAGAGAGAAAAACTCCCAAAAACACGTACTGGGAAAAGAACTTTCTCAAAGACTTATTTTGGTAGAAAGGATGTACTTTTCACTTCCAGCAATATACTGCCATATCATTCTTACCGTGTACAATGTTCCATTAATCACACAGACATCAGGTATTGGTTCTAAAAAACAAAACAAAAAATATTAATTCTAGAATAACTCAAATTGTGAGTCTTCCTGAGAATCCAAGATGTTACTAGGTTTTGTTAGTAGCACAGAGAGTATGGAAAACTTTAATTCAATCCCCATATGTGCTTAGACTTCATATATAGGGTAGCTAAATGTTTAAGCAAAGTTTCATCATTAAAATCAGCTGGAAGAGGTGGAGAGGAATGGCTTCAAACTTGAGCTATGCCTGAAAAATCCCTTTTTTGCCCTTTCATTATCTGGTTCAATTCAAATTAAATTAGTTGTTTCCTCTGGGAACCCTCGGCCTCCATGATAAACAAAGATGCTTCAGTTATTGATTCTTTATGACCTTTCAGAACATGTCTTGTATGGAAGATTGATACTGTGGAAAAAGGTATTCCTGCTAAGGTATTCCTACTAAAGGTATTCCTATATAATGTAAATCTGACAACATGGCAGAACCCATCTATGTCTTTCACAGAACAGCTTTAAACTTGCCTGTTCCTTTGTTTTGACTTTCCTTTTTCAGGCTTAATTTATGGGTACTTTTTTCTTTTTAGTCTTTTGCACAAGTATATGTACATAAAATATATGTATATAAAAGTGTATGTTTATAAATAAAAAATTATAGTTATATTAGTTTATTTTCATGAGCATCTGGCAAGAGTGTAAGTATAATTATTACTTTTCATACACTGTCAATTTAATTACTGATTACAATTCACTTTGTACTATTGCTTCCTGTTACTTGGTCTTGTAGTTGACTGTTAAGCTATTTAATGACTTATTCTTGTGTTTATGCATCTTAGTTTAGTTGCATTTAGACTAATGTTAATGTGCTCTAATGTTCCATTAGTAAGATGAAAAAAATGCATGGATAACATTTATAATTACAGGTACAAAGATAGTTGAGCTACATAGACCAGTGAATGTTCAAAATACTATTCTGCTCTCCCACCCATTCTCTTATTAAAGTTAAATGAAAATAACATTGTTTTTTTTTAAACAAAGCTTCAATGCATATTTAGCCAAAAATAATTTTGTTTTCATTGAGACAGAAAAATTTAAGAAATATTTTGCTGTTATTGTGATGCATTAAGAACTTCCTTAGATGTTAACGAAAGTGCAAATGTAATTGCCTGGAGTGGTATTTATAAATGTATTTTTAATACTTACTGCATTCAAATTCAGGACAACATGGGTCTTTTTGTGGTATTACAGCCATGGAAACAAATCCTAGGTCACAAGTTGTTTGCTGAGCTGTTTGGCATGGGAGTGGCTGGCATTGTGCAGTAGCAGTGAGGGAATCACAGACACATTTCTGGCATTCTTCTATCCACTCCTCTCCAGGCTGAAAATATGTAAATTATTTATTCTTAAATGCTCCTTTATCCTAGTTGTTCAGTTTTAATTTAAGATATACTCTCAAAATTAGTAGGAAATTCAGATTGTAGTTGTTTTAGTACATAATTTAAGAACGGGTATGCTAAGAATAACCACAGAATTTTCTTCTGCATAAAAAGAATGGTATTTTACATTTCACGGCTTGTCTACTTATGTCTATGAAATTTAAATGACTTTTATTTAAACCAAAAGTCTCTGCCATGGCCTTAGTGAGCTTTTCCACCAAGAGATTACTTAAAAGTCTGGTAATGCCAGGTTAAATAATTGTGTGCTGTCAGGTCATTTGTTACCTGACCAACTTTGTTATTGAGATACATAAATGTTGATTTGAATTGGCTGTTAAAGGACAGAAATTGGTCTGGTTTTGCAACAGTGGTATATTATAAAGTAGGGAGGGGAACCACCTTTCGTGCAGGATTGACATCAGTGCAGTTTCTTTCTACTGAAATTGTGGTGGTTGTTGCTGTGGTTGGTGAGGCAGCTTGTGATGTAGTTGAGGCGACTGAAGGAGCAGGAGTTGTCAGATGACATGGCCCGTAGAAGGGCTCAATCTCACATTCCTTGCTGCAAAGTGCATAAAAATTACAGCCAGCTCTATCTGTTCTGTTGTATACCACTTCCCCTGCAGATGAAAATTGGAAAAGAAATTACAAGGATGAAAATACATAGGGAGAAAAAACAAGAAAATATTGTGAAAATATTAAGTGTATTCATGTATAAAACATTCTACATTTAGATGACTTTGAGTGGTTATCTTTAATTGAATAGAGTCTTAAGGGTTTATATTGCTTATGAAATCTTTTATAATCATAAAATAAGACACTTACCAGGAGAAAATAAAGTTTCAAACACATGACAAAAGCATGGAGGTATTTTGCTGGATGTAACAGATGTGCTGGTGGAAGAACTGAAGGTTGCAGGAGTGCTTGTTGTAACATGGCTTGATTGTGATGTACCAGTTGAAGCTACTGTTGAGTACAAGTAATAATTTAGTTTGCAGGTACAGGATGTTGATCTAATAGTTTTAACACCTTCAAGAGGTCTATTCAACATTGTGGCAAATCGAGTGAACATGTTTCCTGCATTCAAATATTTGAGCTATTCATAAGTGGAGATCATAAGTGGAGATCATGGAAATTTTTTCATTGCACATTGAATAACACCTGGCCTTTGGCAAATCTGATGAGATTTACCTCTAACGTTTTGAAAAGTTTCAACTTTCCTCATTTAAGTAAGAATTAATACTATGAGGTTAACCAAGCTGACACATAAATACTAGTAACAAAGAGGGAGATTGATTGAAAATTGGTTTATGTGTTTTAAAGAATATAAATGGTCATAGATTCATATAATCACAAACTGGTTTAGGGAAAGAAGCCACAAAACACAAAGATGTGAATGTTGGTCTAAAGAAAATGATGGTTGTAAAATTTTAAAAAGTAGACAATGATATACCTGGGCAGACAGTAGTGCTGAAGAAAGCTGTTATAGCAGTATTTTCTACATTAGGAGAAAAGAATGCTATAAGAATTTACCTGTGGTAATTCCAGACTGAGGAAGAGTTGTAGTGAGCACAGATGAGGGGCCAGAAGTGGTTATTAATCTTATTTCAGGTGAAGTGGAGGCAGGGCTGGTGGTGGTAGTGATGATGGTGGTTTCCTCTCTACCTGAGCCTGTGGTGCTGGGGCCAGCTGCGGTGCCTGTGGTGGTTCTTATTTTAACTTCAGAGGGTGTTGTGGTTCTTATTTTAACTTCAGAGGGTGTTGTGGGAGATGTTGGAGCCTGGGTTGCCGCAGTGGAGGTTTCTCCTGGAGCAGAGGTGGCAGAGGCTCTTGTGGTGCTTCTCTCAGTAGTCCTGGAGGTGCTGGCAGTGCTGGTGGCAGGGGTAGGCACTGTTGTTGTGGGTGGGGTGATGGTGGTTGTACCTTCAGTCTGAGGGGGAGAGGTGCTGGTGGTGGTAGCAATGATGGTTGTTTCCTCTCCGGCTGAGCCTGTGGTGCTGGGGGCCACCGTTGTGCCAGTGGTGGTTTTCAATTTTATTTCAGGGGTGGAGGCAGCAATTGTTGATGTTGTTTGAATAGCAACAGTGGATAATACTGTTTGAAGAGTTTTTTCTGTAGATAGAGTGCTGCTTTCCCAGGTCGTCGTGGAGGTGCTGGCGGTGCTGGGGGCAGGGGTAGGCACTGTTGTTGTTGTTGGGATGATGATGGTTGTACCTTCAGTCTGAGGGTGAGAGGTGATGGTGGTGGTAGAGATGACAGTTGTTTCCTCTCTGGCTGAGCCTGTGGTACTGGGGCCAGCTGTGCTTCCTGTTGTGGTTTTTATTTTCATTGGCTCTGTGTATCTTGGGGTGACAATGGTGGTTCCTTGTGGTGAGAGGGTACTTGTTGTTCCTACGGTGGTTGTTATTACTTGCTGTGGAAGTGTGGGGAGAGCAGTTGGTGTTGCTGCAGGTCGTGTTTCTATTGTGGTGGTTTCTGCTGGGATGTGTGTTGTGGAGGTGCTTACAGTGGTTGCTGCGGTTGGTACTGTTGTCTGGCAGTGTTTTCGGTCACAGCACAGCACTGAGACCTCGTAGTCAAAGCACGTGGGGTACTTGAGAGTCTGGTCCTTATTTCTGCACACAAGCCCCCTGTCAAGGCTGCAGTCAAATTTCTGTTCCATTATTTTTACAATTGAGTCAGGGTAGTCTTTAGCTCGGCACTTGATGTCTTGAGGCTTATCACACAGCTCATACCCAGCAGCTCTGATGTTTTCAAATGTCTCTGAATCTCCATTTTCACTGCCTGGAGTAGGGGAGTCCACATTAAACCACTGTGTCCAGGCACAGCGCTCCACCACGCAGTTGTCTGTGCTATTGGAGATGCGGATTGTGGTGGTGGCTGGCGTGGGCCAAGTTGTTGTGGGTGGCGTGCTGATGGTTGCGCTGAGGCCAGCTGTGGTTCCTGTGGTGGTTCTTATTTTAACTTCAGAGGGTGTTGTGGGAGATGTTGTAGTCTCGGTCACCACAGTGGAGGTTTCTCGTGGAGCAGATGTGGCAGAGGCTCTTGTGGTGCTTCCTGCAGTGGTCCTGGAGGTGCTGGCAGTGCTGGTGGCTGGGGTAGGCACTGTTGTTGTGGGTGGGGTGATGGTTGTCGTTCCTTCAGTCTGAGGGGGAGATGTGCTGGTGGTGGTAGCGATGATGGTTGTTTCCGGTCCGGCTGAGCCTGTGGTGCTGGGGCCAGCTGTGGATCCTGTGGTGGTTCTTATTTTAACTTCAGAGGGTGTTGTGGGAGATGTTGGAGCAAGGGTTGCTGCAGTGGATGTTTCTCCTGGAGCAGATGTGGCAGAGGTTCTTGTGGTGCTTCTCTCGGTAGTCCTGGAGGTGCTGGCAGTGCTGGTGGCTGGTGTGGGCTCTCTTGTTTTTGGGATGATAATGGTTGTACCTTCAGTCTGAGGGGGAGATGTGCTGGTGGTGGTAGCGATGATGGTTGTTTCCTGTCCGGCTGAGCCTGTGGTGCTGGGGCCAGCTGTGGATCCTGTGGTGGTTCTTATTTTAACTTCAGAGGGCGTTGTGAGAGATGTTGTAGTCTCGGTCACCACAGTGGAGGTTTCTCGTGGAGCAGATGTGGCAGAGGCTCTTGTGGTGCTTCCTGCAGTGGTCCTGGACGTGCTGGCAGTGCTGGTGGCTGGGGTAGGCACTGTTGTTGTGGGTGGGGTGATGGTTGTCGTTCCTTCAGTCTGAGGGGGAGATGTGCTGGTGGTGGTAGCGATGATGGTTGTTTCCTGTCCGGCTGAGCCTGTGGTGCTGGGGCCAGCTGTGGATCCTGTGGTGGTTCTTATTTTAACTTCAGAGGGTGTTGTGGGAGATGTTGGAGCCTGGGTTGCCGCAGTGGATGTTTCTCCTGGAGCAGATGTGGCAGAGGTTCTTGTGGTGCTTCTCTCGGTAGTCCTGGAGGTGCTGGCAGTGCTGGTGGCTGGTGTGGGCTCTCTTGTTTTTGGGATGATGATGGTTGTACCTTCAGTCTGAGGGGGAGATGTGCTGGTGGTGGTAGCGATGATGGTTGTTTCCTGTCCGGCTGAGCCTGTGGTGCTGGGGCCAGCTGTGGATCCTGTGGTGGTTCTTATTTTAACTTCAGAGGGCGTTGTGAGAGATGTTGTAGTCTCGGTCACCACAGTGGAGGTTTCTCGTGGAGCAGATGTGGCAGAGGCTCTTGTGGTGCTTCCTGCAGTGGTCCTGGACGTGCTGGCAGTGCTGGTGGCTGGGGTAGGCACTGTTGTTGTGGGTGGGGTGATGGTTGTTGTTCCTTCAGTCTGAGGGGGAGATGTGCTGGTGGTGGTAGCGATGATGGTTGTTTCCTGTCCGGCTGAGCCTGTGGTGCTGGGGCCAGCTGTGGATCCTGTGGTGGTTCTTATTTTAACTTCAGAGGGTGTTGTGGGAGATGTTGGAGCCTGGGTTGCCGCAGTGGATGTTTCTCCTGGAGCAGATGTGGCAGAGGTTCTTGTGGTGCTTCTCTCGGTAGTCCTGGAGGTGCTGGCAGTGCTGGTGGCTGGTGTGGGCTCTCTTGTTTTTGGGATGATGATGGTTGTACCTTCAGTCTGAGGGGGAGATGTGCTGGTGGTGGTAGCAATGATGGTTGTTTCCTGTCCGGCTGAGCCTGTGGTGCTGGGGCCAGCTGTGGATCCTGTGGTGGTTCTTATTTTAACTTCAGAGGGCGTTGTGAGAGATGTTGTAGTCTCGGTCACCACAGTGGAGGTTTCTCGTGGAGCAGATGTGGCAGAGGCTCTTGTGGTGCTTCCTGCAGTGGTCCTGGACGTGCTGGCAGTGCTGGTGGCTGGGGTAGGCACTGTTGTTGTGGGTGGGGTGATGGTTGTCGTTCCTTCAGTCTGAGGGGGAGATGTGCTGGTGGTGGTAGCGATGATGGTTGTTTCCTGTCCGGCTGAGCCTGTGGTGCTGGGGCCAGCTGTGGATCCTGTGGTGGTTCTTATTTTAACTTCAGAGGGCGTTGTGAGAGATGTTGTAGTCTCGGTCACCACAGTGGAGGTTTCTCCTGGAGCAGATGTGGCAGAGGCTCTTGTGGTGCTTCCTGCAGTGGTCCTGGAGGTGCTGGCAGTGCTGGTGGCTGGGGTAGGCACTGTTGTTGTGGGTGGGGTGATGGTTGTCGTTCCTTCAGTCTGAGGGGGAGATGTGCTGGTGGTGGTAGCGATGATGGTTGTTTCCTGTCCGGCTGAGCCTGTGGTGCTGGGGCCAGCTGTGGATCCTGTGGTGGTTCTTATTTTAACTTCAGAGGGTGTTGTGGGAGATGTTGGAGCCTGGGTTGCCGCAGTGGATGTTTCTCCTGGAGCAGATGTGGCAGAGGTTCTTGTGGTGCTTCTCTCGGTAGTCCTGGAGGTGCTGGCAGTGCTGGTGGCTGGTGTGGGCTCTCTTGTTTTTGGGATGATGATGGTTGTACCTTCAGTCTGAGGGGGAGATATGCTGGTGGTGGTGGCGATGATGGTTGTTTCCTGTCCGGCTGAGCCTGTGGTGCTGGAGCCAGCTGTGGATCCTGTGGTGGTTCTTATTTTAACTTCAGAGGGTGTTGTGAGAGATGTTGTAGTCTCGGTCACCACAGTGGAGGTTTCTCGTGGAGCAGATGTGGCAGAGGCTCTTGTGGTGCTTCCTGCAGTGGTCCTGGACGTGCTGGCAGTGCTGGTGGCTGGGGTAGGCACTGTTGTTGTGGGTGGGGTGATGGTTGTCGTTCCTTCAGTCTGAGGGGGAGATGTGCTGGTGGTGGTAGCGATGATGGTTGTTTCCTGTCCGGCTGAGCCTGTGGTGCTGGGGCCAGCTGTGGATCCTGTGGTGGTTCTTATTTTAACTTCAGAGGGTGTTGTGGGAGATGTTGGAGCCTGGGTTGCCGCAGTGGATGTTTCTCCTGGAGCAGATGTGGCAGAGGTTCTTGTGGTGCTTCTCTCGGTAGTCCTGGAGGTGCTGGCAGTGCTGGTGGCTGGTGTGGGCTCTCTTGTTTTTGGGATGATGATGGTTGTACCTTCAGTCTGAGGGGGAGATGTGCTGGTGGTGGTGGCGATGATGGTTGTTTCCTTTCCAGCTGAGCCTGTGGTGCTGGGGCCAGCTGTGGATCCTGTGGTGGTTCTTATTTTAACTTCAGAGGGCGTTGTGAGAGATGTTGTAGTCTCGGTCACCACAGTGGAGGTTTCTCGTGGAGCAGATGTGGCAGAGGCTCTTGTGGTGCTTCCTGCAGTGGTCCTGGACGTGCTGGCAGTGCTGGTGGCTGGGGTAGGCACTGTTGTTGTGGGTGGGGTGATGGTTGTCGTTCCTTCAGTCTGAGGGGGAGATGTGCTGGTGGTGGTAGCGATGATGGTTGTTTCCTGTCCGGCTGAGCCTGTGGTGCTGGGGCCAGCTGTGGATCCTGTGGTGGTTCTTATTTTAACTTCAGAGGGTGTTGTGGGAGATGTTGGAGCCTGGGTTGCCGCAGTGGATGTTTCTCCTGGAGCAGATGTGGCAGAGGTTCTTGTGGTGCTTCTCTCGGTAGTCCTGGAGGTGCTGGCAGTGCTGGTGGCTGGTGTGGGCTCTCTTGTTTTTGGGATGATGATGGTTGTACCTTCAGTCTGAGGGGGAGATGTGCTGGTGGTGGTGGCGATGATGGTTGTTTCCTTTCCAGCTGAGCCTGTGGTGCTGGGTCCAGCTGTGGATCCTGTGGTGGTTCTTATTTTAACTTCAGAGGGTGTTGTGGGAGATGTTGGAGCCTGGGTTGCCACAGTGGAGGTTTCTCCTGAAGCAGAGGTGGCAGAGGGTCTTGCAGTGCTTCCTGCAGTGGTCCTGGAGGTGCTGGCAGTGCTGGTGGCTGGGGTAGGCACTGTTGTTGTGGGTGGGGTGATGGTGGTTGTACCTTCAGTCTGAGGGGGAGAGGTGCTGGTGGTGGTAGCAATGATGGTTGTTTCCTCTCCGGCTGAGCCTGTGGTGCTGGGCCCCACTGTGGTGGTTCTTATTTTAACTCTGGACGTTGTTGTGAGAGGTTTTGTAGTCTGGGTTGCTGCAGTGGTAGTTTCTTCTGGAGCAGATGTGGCAGAGGCTCCTGTGGTGCTTCCTGCAGTGGTCCTGGAGGTGCTGGCAGTGCTTGTGGCTGGTGTGGGCTCTCTTGTTGTGGTTGGGGTGATGATGGTTGTGCCTTCAGTCTGAGGGGTAGATGTGCTGGTGGTCGTAGAGATGATGGTTGTTTCCTGTCCAGCTGAGCTCTTGGTACTGGGGATAGCCGTGTTGCCTGTTGTGGTTTTTAATTTCATCGGCTCTGTGTATCTTGGGGTGATGATGGTGGTTCCTTGTGGTGAGAGGGTACTTGTTGTTCCTACGGTGGTTGTTATTACTTGCTGTGAGTGTGTGGGGAGAGCAGTTGGTGTTGCTGCAGGTCGTGTTTCTATTGTGGTGGTTTCTGCTGGGATGTGTGTTGTGGAGGTGCTTACAGTGGTTGCTGTGGTTGGTACTGTTGTCTGGCAGTGTTTTCGGTCACAGCACAGCACTGAGACCTCGTAGTCAAAGCACGTGGGGTACTTGAGAGTCTGGTCCTTATTTCTGCACACAAGCCCCCTGTCAAGGCTGCAGTCAAATTTCTGTTCCATTATTTTTACAATTGAGTCAGGGTAGTCTTTAGCTCGGCACTTGATGTCTTGAGGCTTATCACACAGCTCATACCCAGCAGCTCTGATGTTTTCAAATGTCTCTGAATCTCCATTTTCACTGCCTGGAGTAGGGGAGTCCACATTAAACCACTGTGTCCAGGCACAGCGCTCCACCACGCAGTTGTCTGTGCTATTGGAGATGCGGATTGTGGTGGTGGCTGGCGTGGGCCAAGTTGTTGTGGGTGGCGTGCTGATGGTTGCGCTGAGGCCAGCTGTGGTTCCTGTGGTGGTTCTTATTTTAACTTCAGAGGGTGTTGTGGGAGATGTTGTAGTCTCGGTCACCACAGTGGAGGTTTCTCGTGGAGCAGATGTGGCAGAGGCTCTTGTGGTGCTTCTCTCGGTAGTCCTGGAGGTGCTGGCAATGCTTGTGGCTGGCGTGGGCTCTCTTGTTGTTGTTGGGATGATGATGGTTGTACCTTCAGTCTGAGGGGGAGATGTGCTGGTGGTGGTAGCGATGATGGTTGTTTCCTCTGTCGCTGAACCCGTGGTGCTGGGGCCAGCTGTGGATCCTGTGGTGGTTTGTATTTTAACTTCAGAGGGCGTTGTAAGAGATGTTGTAGTCTCAGTCACCACAGTGGAGGTTCCTGCTGTCGTAGTTGTGATTTGGTATCCTGTTGTTGAGACTTGGGTTGTCGTTGCTGTTACTGATGTTTCACTCTGAGGAGTCGTTCTGTCTCGTTCCCTTGTTGGTGTTGTCGTTACTTCACTTTCTTGTTTTTGTGTTGTTGGTATTATTGTTGTCTGTACTTTAAATGGTGTTGATTCTACAGCAGTAGTTGTGAATTCTCTTGTGGTTGTGGGTGTTGTAGTTTGTGCTTCTGAACATGGTATGTATCTGCAGCATGATATTCTGATTTCATAATTATAGCACTGCTTGGATTCTTGGTCCTGGTTATTGCATATTAATCCTCTGCTTTGACTACACTCTATTGTTTGGTTAAGGTTGGTAATTTCAGTATCTGGGTGTTCTTTGGCTCTGCATTGAACATCGCTTGGGTTTGTACAGACACTGTATCCTTTATCCTTGAGATTTTGATATGTTTCATAATCTCCACTGTCCTCTTTCTTTTCAGGCTGAGTGGAATCATACCATTCTGACCACACACAGACATTTTTCACACATACAGTTGTCACTGGTGTTGCAGTTGTAATTTCTGTAATTGAAAGGAGGAAACATAAGTCTTGTCTGTCCTTATTAGAGTTCTAGGAAGAAATTATTCATCTTCCATACCTTTTTATTATTGTAAATATTTTTAATATTATGTAATATTTTAATTTTAATGAACTTGCTTAGGCAGTCTCAAATTTAATTTCTAAAGTAGGTTTTGACTTTTTGCCTTATTATTGTAGAGATAGTTTCTTTGACATCTATTAAAGATTTGTAGCTAAATATAGGTAATCTGCTATCCTTTGCACAGTATGTCACTGCTTAGATAATACGTCTCACAATTGCTTTGGTATAAGTAGAGGAGGTTTTATTTCTTTGGTATTATCTCTGTATTTATTTACACCTAACTGCATAACCACACAGACTTTAAAATATTTTGACTAGTTAATGACTTTTCTACTTAGTTCAATATTACCACATGTAACATATTTATAAATATAAAATATATACTTAACATATGTGTATTTTATATGTAGTACATTATAATAGAGAATACACATATACTATATATGAAATATATAATCTAATAGGTAAAAGGTATTTTCTATGTATTTTAATAAGACTTCATATTCCTGGCATTATGAAGATAACCATGTGTAATAGATATTACTTTCTCAATATGAATGTTACTTAATAGAAGACTTAAATTTGAATATTTAGTTCTTGCTGTAGTATAATTTTGTGGACATGTTTCTCACAATTACTCAGAATTTGGTCATTGTAATTAATTAACAGCAGGAATAATATAGCAGTGTACTCCAGGAGTAGAAGGAAACTGTTGATTTGGGTATTAAACAGAATTAGGAAAGGTTCCAAAGAATGGTTATAAATAGTTTAAAGACTCCCTCAAAATAAATTTCTTATGTGCTCACTAATTTAAGAAATGGCAGCAACTTTCATGTTTTCAGAAGTTGGTCTAGAACTGCTGGGGGTTTTTGCAAGGAAATTAGAAGATTCTCCAGGTTGCAGTGATTAATAAACTCTATTAATTTTTCCCTAAGGATCACCATGGTAAAACAGAGGAAACTGAGTTTGTAAGAAATGGTGTATTCATTTCTACATCCTTAACTATTCTTTTTCAACTGAAGCGGCCAGGTGAGTTGGCAGCTCCAGTAGAAGTCAATAGTTTCAAGTAAAATTATATACCATTAACTGATGAAAAGGTCCTGCCTTTCAGGTAATTTTTAGTCACTTACAGAGATTTTGGAATTATTTTAAAGATTATTTATGCATACCTGAAGCAGTAGTTGTGGGCTGACTTGTGGAAAATGTAAATGGGGTTGTTGTAAAAATGCCACATTTAAAGATGTTTCTGCTTATTGTTCCATTGACATCGCATGTTGCACTGAAACACCATCCAGTTCCATCTGTGGTGTTGTAGATGAGTTCACCATATTTATAGCTATTCTCTTCATAAATGCAGTTGCAGGCTGTAATTTAGAAGTTTATTGTCAGTTCAGACATCTATGAAAAGACAGCATCCAATACTTCTTTTTCTAAATAATTTTTCTTAGCTGTCTTACCTTTATCATCGAACTTGCACTGTAAACCTTCTGATGTGCACTCACTGAAACAGAAAGCATAAAAACCCATCTATTTTGTGATTGTGATGTAATTTTATTAGTCATCTTTCTGAAAGATACTGGCATCAAAAGTCAAGGCACTTTTGTGTTTATTCCTAGAGCTTTCTGTTCATTTTGGCTCCTTTTTTGCCATTATTTTCCAAAACCTTCCTTTATATTAAACTCAAACATATAAACAGGAGTGAAGTTAAATATTATGCAAAATTATGGGTAGAAGTCTTAAGGCAGACTTTCCCTTTTTCCTTAGTATCACTTTCCTTGCATTTGCAGTATTTTTGTACTAAAATAGATGGCTAAAAGGGTGAGTCTCTATGCTCAAATAATGCAAGTATGTTGCAAAATCCTTGGATGCAGGCCACCAATAAATATCTTTACTCATGGCACAACATTTTTCCTGCCACAGGAATGTGAAATAAAGACAGCCTAGTCATAAAGGACTTGTTCTTGATGCATCTTAATGCTGAGGATTTACAATACAATCAAAAATAAATTCATAAAAACATAAAATCATGTAAAGCTTTCTTATTAATGTAGTAGGAAAACTGGCATTAGATTGTAAGGCATTATTTCATCACAGATAGCATGAACTGATCTTGCACGTAACAGGAACATACAACTTCTCCCTTGAGTTTTGATCATTTTTCCTTGTATAAGATGAGGTTGGTATGTTAAGTCTTACCATATACTACATTCATCTCGCTGATATATCTTTCCATCTTCATCATCATAACAGTCACAGAGACTAACACACTTCATCTGATCCTCATGAAAATATGGCTTGTCAGGTGGGCAGTTAGGGTAGCAGCCTGAAGGTGGAAAAGGTAAGAATGAGATGCAGTCACCAAAGGTTTTATTTGCACCAAATGCATTTGCAGGTCTTGTTTTTAATTGTCATCATGTTTCTACTTTATGTTTTGGAATAGCTCTAGGAAGAAATGCAGAGTTACTAGCATCAGCAAAACCCATCCATAAGAACTTAGTCCTAGAGATCTTATTCCAGTTTCCATAATCTGTTTCCATTCATGTGGATGTAATGATACTAGAGAAAATTCAATTGTGCAAATGCAGTTGATGGAGGAAATATACTTCTTCACAGACAATTTAAAATATAGCAATATGTACCCACTAGGAGGTACTTGCAGCTATTTTTACCTTCTAAACCTGGCAGGTCATTGAGACATTTTCCACTTGGGTTCTTACAGGTCTTCATACAGGAAGCACCACAAGGCTTATAGTGCCATTCACATTCTCCTTGCTGATTGTAGTAATCACAGAACAGTGCTGAGGAGAAACAGAAAGTTGAACATATTCAGGGAAAGGAAAAAAAAAAGATCAAAGAGCTTAAGCATGAAAAATTGACACAGTGAGATAGATATTAATGCACATATGTAAGATACTATACACTTAGCTGCACTTTGAGAAAGGTTTATGACATAAAACTTACGACAAATTGTTGGGCTTCTCCAGGCTATGCATACACCAACTTCACTGCATGCTTGAGCATAGGCAGCTACTGCTGTACAAAAGCAATCACAGTCTCCTCCAGTGTCACAGGCACAAGCATCTGTCACACATGCTTGGTAATATTTTGCTGGTTCAACCTGTTATTACAGGAAATATAATATTATGCATCCTGACTTCTAAGTGATTTCTTACCTTTGCTAGAGTAGTTTTCTTACAATTGTAGTATCCCAGAGGAAAGGCCTAAATTGGTCATTTCTTTTTCTTTTGTTAAACACTGTAAGACACCTGAGGTGATGCCAAATGATACGTCCAAATCATGTATTGCCAGATTTTTAGAAACCTAGACTTGTATCCTGGTGTAAGATTAGATTAATTTTCAAAAAAAATATTAGGCAACTGCACAATTACCTGACAACATTTGTTATGTACTTAGTGTCAGGTAAAGGTTATGCTGATATTTCATTCCTGTATTATTATTTCATTGAGCTTGCCTTCTCTACCTGGTATATGAGAATTTTTATTCAAGTCAGGCTGCAAGGAAATTCATAGTAATTATGAAATTATTATTTTGTTGTTATTTTTCTTTTTTAAATGCCTTTTTATTTCTTACAAGTAGGAACTATATATCTGTCCCATTGAGGGCGATTCAGACTGGAGTTTTCCTGGCACAATTTGAAGCGAAACATATTGATAAACAAGGCATGCATGTTAAAACCTATGAGAATAGCACCTTCATCAACCCACAGGCTTAGTTTTCCCACAGTAAATGTCTGCCCTGGTAATACCTGAGAGTGACAGGCAGCAAAGACATTGCTGTTGATGATGCTACACTGCTTCTCTGACCAGGACTTCCGATAAGGGTTGGTAGAACATGGGTCCTTGACACTGGCAGCATCAGGGCACGTAGAGGATACTTTCCAGCTGTTTCCAAACTCTAGGACATTCTCTACTACAGACTGACTCCTTGTAGTAAAGTCATTGACGCTGTTGCCATCATAATTTCCACAGAGACCACAGACCTGGCCCTGCAAAAGACATAAATAAAAGAATAATGGATGTGAGAAAACTTGAAACAAAGTCTGAGACTGAAAGAATACTTGAAATCCATCTCTTAGAATAGTGGCATTCCATTCTATCAGTCCTAAACATCTTCATACTCTGGAATAGAGGAACAGAATATGACCACTACAGCTAGAAGGATACTGTTGTTAACTTTTTTCTTTTAAATATGAATAATAAAACCATCTTTGTAGTCATAACCTTCTGTCTTTGAGGTATATTTTTAACAAGGAAGTGAGGACTTACAGCTGATTAAGCTTTTCATTTAAGCCTTGTTTTGTACAATAGCTATGCATATAAAAACAACCTTCTAACTAGTAAGTACTAACAGTTCAGCCACCTAATCTATTAATTGAGTCTTTACCATTAAGTCTGCTCACTGGTATATAAAGAAATTGTATTTTCCTTGTGCATCCAGAAATATCACTCATTCCGAATGTATGGATCTGTACAACTGTGAGAGGCTACAATACATGCTTTTTCTATGAAACTAAGGTGCATACTTTCCATATTACTACTATTTTTTAAAAGTGCTGGTGAGGGAAAGAACCTATGGTACTGAAAGAAGTTGGTTCTAAATTATACTTCATTTAAATACCTAATTTAAATGTCATTGTGGTATGCAGTAAGATAGAAAATTCTGTATTTACTACAGTTTTTAGTGCTTATATATCATAAGCTAAGAGGAGTATGAAAATTGGAATTCATTTTCCTTATCATCTGTGTAGTTATATGCTTGACAAATACTTGGTGGCATAAAAGAGGCTTTCACTCATTATACACTTCCTTGTTCTTGAAGTGTGATAATTTGTGTGTCAATGAAAACTGGAAACAATGGATTATTTTCAAGATCAAGCCTATTCAGTTGATTTATACACAGGTAGTTATGTAATATTAATAAGTCTGATAACCTGTAACAATGTTCAGTTTGTAATTTCAACAAAGTCAAGTCCAAAATAGTGTTTTTGCCAACTCAAGTTCTATCAGGCCAAATAGGCACTGGAAGCTACCTTCCAAGCTCAGAATGGCAGCAGGATGATGACATGGCATCCTGAGGTACCAGAGGAATGGAAAGCAAAGTGGGATGGACAGCAGGAATGCTAGAGACCATCACTATTTGGCAGATTCACACCCAGTCAAAGCTGGGCAGTAAATTGCCATCGAGCTGCTAGTTCCGCACCTTGAAACGAGGGCTGAGCTTGATGAAGATGCTGGTGTGCTTGTCCCACATGAGGATCAGCCCACTTTTGGTCTCAATTACCAGGTACATCCCCATATAGCGGACTGTGTATGGCACCTCGTCATTCTGCCCTCTCTTTACGACACTGACACGCTCTTCGCCAAGGATCAGCTCATAGCTCTGAAACAGGAGGAAAAGGTAAGGAGAAATGAGCTCAGTCGCTGCAGCTGTGCTCTCAAACATGTTTTTTCTGCTTTTAAGAGTAGTATGAATAAATAGCTTATATCATGAAAACAAATAATCAAAATGTAATGAATCAAAGCAACCTAATTCAAATCTCAGGTTCCTGGAAGAGTGGTAACAGATATTTAAATGGCGTACGTTAAAAAAGTGTCTTTTGACTGTCATGGAGAAACTACATTGCATACAATAAAAGAATCTTCTGACACAGTAGGCTAAATTTCTGCCTTTAGGCCTTTACTTTTCCCAAGGATGATGTAAAATAGTGTGGGAAGTCAAAAACATAGAAAGGTAGGAAGATCTACCAAATATTTCACTTGAATCTGATGTAAACCTAATTTAATAGTTGAATTGCTTTTTAATATTTTCCAAGTTCTTTGAAGCAATAGAAATATAGGCTTCCCCTAAGCCTTAGCAGGTACAAAGGAAAACTGCTCTATGTGCAAAACCTTCTTACCTCTAAGAAAACTTTGATAGACTTTGAGCAAGTTGTCCCAGTGTTGCCACAGGGAACATTTTCAGTGGCAACCCTGAAGGTCCCGTTGACTGTGCCACTTTTGCCACAGTGGTCCTGGGTAGAGAATAACATTTAAAAATATATTATTTTTACAGGATAGGATCAAGATTACCCCTCATTTGCTACTGCTAGCTATCAGTACCTGGACTAGTGTGTATTCACAGTTTCCATTGAAGCTGAACCTTTTGTCATCAAAGGTGTTATAATGACCATCTCCATAAACAGCACAAGTGCCCAGACATTGATCTTTGGTACATTCCCACTTCCTATTCTTGCATACACTAGGAAAAAAAAGAATTAAATATTTTAATAATAAAACAACTTACTCTTTTGTGTAGACATATCTGAACAATCAATATTTGTTTGGCAATCCATCCCAAATGCTATTTTTTTTCTGGAAATAAAACACTCTTTTACATTTTTCATTCAAAGAATTAAAGAAAAATCTGTTCTGCTACCTGAATACCTTAACTGCAAAACTAGATACTTAATGAACTCTGTAGTCCTAATGGTTTCCTCCCTTTCTGTGCTTTGGCCATCTGTCAGGTATTAGAAGGCAACATTCTCATACTGCGTAACCCAAAACTAAAAGATCTAAAATCCATCAACTGATTAGATTTGGAATCCAAATCTTTCCTTGTTCTTTTACTATAAAAGGTCTTTAGAAAAGCAAATGATGGAACCAGGAATGCTACTTCTGCAGATATTCTTACCAGGTGTTACAGTCGAAGTTGATCTTTTCTCCAGGCTGATACATGGCTTCATTGTGAATACATGGACATTCCTCTTCAGGAATACAACCACCATTCCCATCTAACACAAGCCCATCTGGGCATATGCAGCCAGATGTACATTGTGAGCTATACTAGAAAAGATAAAAGAAAAACATAATTTTAGAGTGAAATGATCGCATTAGAAAAAGGAAGATTAAGTTCTCATTAAAGGTGCCTTATATGGTCTTATTGCTGCCCAACTTAAATAGGAGAGGACTATAAAGTAATTAAAGGGTAACGGAACAAAAAGGTTATTAGCCATAGATTTAATAAAATATAAATCTGTCAAAGAAAAATTTTTTATGTATACCAATCCTGATTGTTCTGCTGGAACCTGTGAAATTTTAAACACATTGGCTCTTGCACTTTGTGTGTGACTGAATGGAACTTTAAAAGAAAGACAAGTAATATTTTTTTCAGTTTGGCTGAGTTATGTTGAAATTTATTTATCTCATATGGTACTTACTATGAAATGGCATGTGGCTACCAAGAACTTAAGTGGAGTAACACGATTAGTTGCAGCATGGTATGAGAAAAAATCATTTCTCTTAGCCCATTTTTAGCCTTTCCTTCAGAGGGCAAATAAGCAATAGAGATGTAGATTTTTCACTACTAGTTACTGTTACCTGCAGTAGATGAAGAAAGGTAGACACTAATCTTAAGAATTAATTTGGATATTACTTATTATATTTTGATCCAAGGGTTCCATTGTTAATGCTTCATAACATCATTTTAGGGCTTCTGCTACAAGAACAATGTATCTGTGTTGTAAGTTTGGAGTAGATCCAATAGATAATTACTTCAGCAGCAAGAGCATAGACAAACCTGGAAGCACCATTTCATTGGGCCATGACATACTTACACACTGCATATCCAGAGTCTGGCAACTTTTTTGACATTCTGCTCCAGTTGTTCCTGCTGTGTTGTTTTTACAGTCAAAGTAGACCATGGGAGATTCACAGACTAGAGGAAGGAAAGAAGTGGCACAGGGCTTATTTCACATTGTAGCCATTTAAACCATCTATAAGTTCTTTGGAAATTCCCTGTTTGAGTTAGCAGAGATTGTTGTCCCTATTCAACCTGCTGATAAGATTCACTACAGAGTACTGGACTCCCCCCCCCTCCCCCAAAAAAACCCACAAAATATATCAGAACAAAAAGTCTTTCTGTAAAAAGAGGTTTAATGAGTAATCTAGTTCACTCCTGCCTTTTATGACAACTGTAGCACTATGACTAAGTGAGAAATGCTTCTATTAAAAATCCATTAAGAAGAATCAATTCTATGAACGATTCTGTGCAAGACCTGGTAAAGAGGAAAAAGTAAGTGGAAGATTATTTTTACCTGAAGTTGGATTTGGTGCTCCAATGCAATTCAGTCTTCCCTGGACACAAGTGCTGTGAGAGAGGGAAAAACAATCTATTTTATTATCTCCTCTCAAACCAAATATTGAGATTGAGAGCTAGTTATCCCTTGTCAAGTTTCAGAACTTTCAAAGAAATTCTGAAAACCTGTTTTGCAGTCTTGGGAAAGAATTTCTCTCAATACCACTACACATGCTGCTTTCATATGATATCCATTGCTGCTTAGCAGGAAAATTCATAGGTTGTGATGCATATATGTCATTGCTTGTTACTTACATTCTCATAAGATCTCCTCTTGTTGCTGTTGTTGTAATTTTATACTTGAAAGATTATGGAATTTAATAAAAAATGCACCAAAATACAATTGCCCTATCAATCTAGAAATATTAGAGAACCCTGGAAACCTTTAGGATGGAAAAGACCCTTGAGATCCTCAAGTCCAACCATTAACCCAGCACTGCCAAGTCCACCACTAAACCATGTCCCTAAGTGCCATATCTCCATGGCTTTTAAATAATTGCAGGGATAGTGACTCAACCACTTCCCTGGTCAACGTGTTCCAGTGCTTGACAACCACTTCAGTACAAAATTTTTCTTAACATCCAATCAAAACAACCCCCAGTGCAACTTGAGGCCATTTCCTTCCATCCTGTCACTTGGTACCTGGGAGAAGAGTCTGACCCACACTTCACCACAACCTCCTTTTAGGCAGTTTTAGAGTGTGAGTGTCTTCGCTGAGCCTCCTTATCTCCAGGTTAAACAACCTCAGGTCCTTCAGCTGTTCTTCATAATACCTGTGCTCCAGACCAGCTCTGCTGTCCTTCTCTGAACATAGTCCAGCATCAAAATGCCTTTCTTATTGTGAGAGACTCAAAGCTGAACACAGGATTCGAGGTACAACTCACCAGGACCAAATACAGGGGGACAATCACTTCCCTAATGTCAAAAGCTTTACAAAAGTCCAGGCAGATAATATCCACAGCCTTTCCCTCATCACTAAGTAGGTCACCTTGGCATATAAGAAGATCAGGTAGGTTAAGTAGCAGCTGCCTTTCCCAAACCCATGCTGGCTGGGCCTGATCCCCTGTTTGCCCTGTATGTGCCACTCAAGACAATTTGCTCTGTGTCCTTCCCTGGCACCAAGGTCAGGCTGACAGGGCTGCAGTTCACCAGATCCTTCTTCTGGCCCGCACTGTAAATGGGCATCACATTTGCTGACCTCCAGTGAGTCAGGACCTCCAAGGTTAGCCAGACTGCTGACAAATGATTGAAAGTGCCTCTGTGAACTTCCACCAGCTCCCTCAGTGCCCTTGGGTGGACCCCATCTGGCCCCATAGAGTTGTGTGTATTTAAATGGTGTAACAGGTCATTAACCATATCACTTTTCATTGTAGTGGCTCCATTCTGCCCTCTGTCCTCATCCTGCAACTCAGGAGAATATATACCATTTGTAAATTTGAAAATAAAGTTAAAAGAACTTGAAAAAATTGAAGAGAGAGCATTCTTTTGAAATTCAGGGTGAAACCATCTTACACATTCCAGACTTTAAGGAGAAAATACACGTTATTTGAATGTTTTAAAAAAGATTACTTACCATACACGCCCATTTTCATGGACCACTTCTCCAAATGGTATAGGAGATCCTTTGTAGTAGCAGGGGCACTCATTAGCAGGCACACATTTGCCACTCTCATCCATGTAGGTTCCATTTACACAGGTGCAGCCATCAACTGGGACAAACTTAATATTGCATGTGACATCAGGCTCACTCAGAGAGCGGCAGGTGGGTTGGCAGGAAGAGATGGTATAGCTGTAGCTCAGGGATTTGGGACATGAGGTGGTGTATTTTGCTTGAGAGAGGAAAATAAAATAGATTGTTAATTCCAGATGGTTAATTCGCTTGTGAAAAAATAAAAATAATAGGCAGTAGAAATAACATGTAAACAATACACCTCTGTTTATGTTGCATACTTCATGTAAATGTATTTCTGAATAATTTCAGAGTTTGATCTGAAAAGCTATTGTATGTGTGGAGTAAATAATGCATGCAAAGAAGAAAAGATTTTTTCAAATGGAAGTTCAGAAGGAAACCTCCATTTGCTGCTGCCATTCAATGCCAAGATGCCTAAGCCTCTTGAGGAATGAGACAAGAACCCAGCATTCAGCTTCAAAGACATGCATCTGCAAGTGTTCTGGTCAGTGTTACTAGTACTGTTATTCTAATACAGCACATTATCTCTGCAACAACTTGTGATACTTGTAAAGCTGTAGTGAAACTCTAAGTTGCACAGAAACAGGTGGAGGCACTTCCATAAAAAACAGTCCCTTTCATAATCAAACCACATCTCCCTTATATTCATATTCACTCTTGCCAGCAATGGATTGATTCTAAGTGGACAGCAGAGAATTACTGCCAGGAGTGCACTCAACAAAATCCTTTCCTCATCACTTAGTGATTTGTCTAGAAATGAGTAGAAAATAATCTCTGATCAGCAATTTTTATTGATGTGTGTTCTTAGGAAATGAGGAGAGTACTTACTGCAGACATCAGCCCTCCATCCCTGCAGCTGGATTCCTTTTGCAGCACAAGCTCTCACATAGGCAGACAGAGCTGCACACAGACAGTCCTCGCTATTTTCACAGTTACATGTGTCAAACATGCAGTTCTAAGAATGGAGAGAAAAATAAGGTCTCAGCACTGGTAATATTGTCAGTCTTTAAAAAAACAGTGAACTTTATCTTTCAAGTCTTATTCCTTAATCTTTCTTCAGATATGCTCACTCAGAGATAACAGTAACACAGCTTTATCACTTTCTAGTCCTTGTCTAAGGTTCCTGGCAGGGGAAATAGTGATCTTAAATTCTGTTATACATTTTGCAGCTTCTTGGTCCTCTGAACCTTTTTGGTGGATATGCTGCACAATAGCACCCAAAGCTCTATTCACAACGTGCAGTCCAGACATCCCATCTCACCGCTGTCAGCACCTGGGTGACTCCTAGTGAGAAGAGTGGTTTGCAACACGTTGTTAGCAGAGTGATAGTAATTAGGTAATGGGCTGTCTGTTCCAAGCAGTTATTAATGAGATGCCAGGCTGATAAGGTAACAATTGACTGATATTCAAACAAGCATTTGACATGCCTTTAAATACACTATCTGGCTTATTTGTAAAACCACTGTAGTGGAGTAAATAGCTGCCTTTTCATCAGCAAACAAGTCAGGATCTTGAAGCCAAGACTGACAACCGAAATAAAGTAGTGTTACAACACAAAGAGAAACACATGTTGAAAGAAGGAAGTTCTGCAGCACAGCAATGGGGATACAGGCATTGCCTAAGACACGTCTGGAACAGCCCCTATTTCTGTTGCTTCCGAAGGGAAAAGCAGTCAGGCAAAGTACCGTGTGGTAAACAGCGGGATTCACTGCATAGTGACAAGCAGCAAAAGGTCCTGTGCTGTCAGTGAGCAGTCCACACCAATGCTGAGCGTATTTTTCTGTGAAATGAAGAAACAATAAAAATGCACATTACTCTTTGTACTTCATTAGTCATAAACCCATGCTTGCCCTGGCCTGTGCAGACAGTTCTGACATTCCATTAAATCTCTTCTTCTCCTGTCTTTATTTTTTCTCTTTTCACTCAGCCTGTGGGTCATGGTTCCTAAAACCAAAGAAGAGGACTTGCTGGAGGAGATGAATTAAAGGTTTCCAAAGATGCTTCAGTAATCCACTTCTCTGACACCAAGCTGTCAGCTTGGACATCTACTCTATTTTCAGTGTCCTTGCAGTTTGCTTCATTTATGCTTCTGTCACTCTTTTTTTACATCCTTACTTATCTTCAGGGCATTCATTTTGAATATTTGTTTCTGATTTCAGATGTAGGTTTTTATAAAATATTTAAGTTTTTATTTTTTAATCTTTGTTTTCCAACAGATGTATTTTCCTTAGAGATGAGCAAAAAGAAAAAAACAAACCAGAAGTTTTAAGAAGCACTCACCATTATCAATGCTGAGTGCACAAGGATTCTCAAAACTCTGCTGGATATTAGGGCATGAGGCCTGAGTTTTCCATGTATTAGCAAATGCTGATGCTGTTCCTTCAATTATTCCACTTATGACCTTGAAGTCGTCAGTTTGGATGTTATTGAAATTTCCACAGAGACCTGTTGAAAAGCAGTGAAAAGTTTATACTGCTCTGACTACGAAAAAAGACATTGATCAAGGAGTCCTTTACTTCATTCACTCACCACAAGTCTGGTTTTTGAAAGAAGCATCCAGACGCACAAACACTTGCATCACGGGTGTGAACTGCACTTCCACCTGGATGCCAAAGCTTGTGTCCATGATCATGAAGAATGAGGAAGGTCTGAACATGGTGACATTAGCTACACATGAGAAACAAAACTGTCACTTTCTGAGCAAGGCCAAATGCTGAAAACACAATGCTGCTCTTTTTAAATTTCTATTGCATTTTTTTGCAAATTCAGAAGTGAAATAAAGATCTGGAGGTCAGAGATATCACATGGAATCCTTAGCTATTGAAACAAAAATAAAATTTCTTTCTAAGCAAGTGTGAGCAGAGGGGTAGGAAAAAAAAGAGGCAAAATAGGTGAAGAGATATCTTCTGCCTTCACTTTGGTGCAGTGAGAAGTAGTAAATCTGAGAGTAATCAAATCAGAAGACTGTAAATTCTATTTGCTACAGTTTGAACCCTTGCCTGTGCTTGTCCAGCATGACACCAAACATCCCACTTTACTTCAAAAGCACTTGCGTAATTTACTGTTAGAGGAAAAAACTACCTGCTGAAATGGGCAGCTGGGTGTAGATGGAGTTCACAAACACACCGCCATCAGGTTTGACCTCCACGATCTGATAAGGAAGAGGAACAAAAAGCAACTCTGTGAATTATAGAATGGTTTGGCCTGGGAGGGACTATTAAAGGTTATCCAGCTCCACCCCCCCGCTGTGGGACACCTGCCACTAGGCCAGGTTGCTCAAAGCCCCATCCAACGTGGTTGGAACACTTACAGGGATGGCACATCCCCAGTTTCTCTCAGCAACCAGTCCCAGTGTTTCACCACCCTCATGGTAAAGAATTTCTTCCCAATATCTAACCTAAACCTGCCCTCTTTCCGTTTGAAGCCATTTCCCCTTGTCGTATGACCTTGTGCCCTAGGAAAAGGTCCCTCTCCAGCTTTCTTGTAGGCCCATTTTAGGGACAGAAAGGCTCTCATTTTAGGGACTAAAAGTCTCTCCAGAGCTTTCCCTTCTCCAGGCTGAACTCTCTTAAATCTTTCCTGATAGGAAAGGCGCTCCTATGTGTTCATCTGTGGCCTCCTCCGGACCTGTTCCCACAGGTCCATGTTCTTCTTACACTCAGGAGCCCAGAGCTGGATGCAGCACTCCAGGGGAGTCTTGCCAGAGCAAGGTAGAGGGAAAGAATCCCCTTCCCCACCCTGCTGGCCACACTGCTTTGGATGTAGCCCAGGCTGGCCTTCTAGCATGCCAACAACGTATGAAAAATAACTATTGTCCAAAGAGTAATAATGAGGAGAACCTCAGAGATATTAATTAAACCAGTATTCAATAAAAAGGTAGATCTTTGTGATTTCACCTCCCCCTTATTTCTACTTTGTACACTTTACTAATTTTCCCTGCCAGAAAAGAATTACTTTTAAAGAGACTTTCTCAGCTTCTTGGGGGATTACATCATCTTATTTTCTTTGAACACATCTTAGTGATTAATTACATCACTAACTTTTGTAATCACAATTACTAACCTTGAAGCTTATGGTCTTTTCCCATCTAATTGGCAGAGAAAATAGCTTTTTTTCTGCTTTGTGAGTACAATATATTTCTTAATGAAATTCCACAAAGCCAAATTTATGGCTGATCTGATTTTCATAACAAAATCCACTTTTTTTCACTTGATTAAAAATATCATCTACTCATCATACATATGCTGAAAATCTGACAAAGAAATGCAGCTGCCTGTCTGATTAAGCCCTAGTTTCTTTTCTCCCCATATTTTTATTGTGCTTATTTTGCATTCTTACAGTTTGTCCTTTATTCATGTTGAGGGTCACTGACTTCAGGCAGGTCTCAGTGTCAGTCAGGCCACACTTGCGTAGTTCTGCCAGGATGGTAAATTTTTCATCTGTACAGTCCTGAAAAAAAAAAAAAGTCAAGTTATTTCACTGAAGAATAATTACAGGAAGTTTTCCCTATAAAATTTGCAAAAAATCTTTCCCTATAAAATTTTCTCTCAATTCTGAAAAAGTATTTCTTTTTCTGGACAAGATATAGACTGTAACAAATCCCAGAGCTGCTTTGGCTGAAGATTCAATTTTTCCCTGTTTGAATTATTAGGAACAAGAAATGTAGAGTCTGAATTTTATTGATTGTATCCATATGGATGTCAAGATGAAGATCCATGTTCACATTTGGTAGTTTTATTCATGACAACTTCTTATGTTTTATTAAATTCTATTTTAACTCTCATTTTTCTGTAGCTGGTATCAATCCTAGACAAAAATTTCTGATAAAATATGTTTTAGGTGAACAGTAACATAAAACATTTAATTTCCATTTTCTGAATAGTGCAGATGGGGAAAAAGGAAAGAAAACAACAAACAGAAAAAGCCCCTAAAACATCAAAACATTTCACGCACACATGTCTGTAATTAAATATTTTAATTATAATAATTTCAAAATTTTCCATTTATTTTGAGTTATTTAAAAATGTTTAAAAACATTTAAAAGCTAAGTGAAATGCATCAATTAACTTGAAGTGTTTTTCTGTATTTAAACTCAATGAAAATGAAAAAAGGCTGTTTTATAATCTTTATTTTTAAGAACAGTTACTGTAGTTTTTAGAGTTGTACCATTTGGCCAAATACCACATAATAGAGTAACATGGCAAAAATTATGCAACCCAATAAAAGAGCTGGATTAGTTGTACTGAAGGTTGCACACTAGGCAAATTCTTAAAAAGACAGTCCTCTTCAATTACTCTCACAGAACTGGAAATTTTCCAGTGAGCGCCACACACAGTTGCATGACATCCTAATAATTATCTAATTATTATCAGTGAAATGGCATCATAGCAAACATCTGGCTAAGTGGCAGGGAATTTAATGTCTGTATGTCAGAGGTGCTAAGTTTCATAAGTGTGGATAGAGACCATGTTTTCTTCCTATAAATCTCTGAGGCTTTATGACCTGGAAGCATCCTCTGAGTCCCACCTTAGAGAGGACGTAGGTGCAGTCTCCGTGGTGATCATAGTGCTTCGTATCATAGGTGGAAATGTGGGAACCTCCCACTACAGAGCACGTTCCTGGGCAGGACTTGTCTTGGCAGCTCCACTGGCCCCCATTACAGGTACTGCAAGAATAAAGTGAAATCAGTAACAGTGGGATCCAGAACAAGAGGACATACAGCGCTGTTAGGTGCAGCTGCTTTGCTGTCGCTTTTCCCTTCAAGCTCTGGTTTGACACACAGGTTTAAGAGTTTCAAAAACACGGCGAACTTGTGATGCAACGAATTAAAATCAATTTCTCCGGTAACCATTCTCCTTGCTTATCTGATTGTTTTCTTCTTTAGATAGGTGAACTCTCCAAAACAGGTTTTGGATAAATAATTGTGTGGATTTTTCAGGTAACTTAAAGCACAATGTCAAGTTAAAATATCTCCTTGGTGGTTTTGGGGTTTCTTTTGGTAATACAAATGTATTATAAACTAACAAATAAGAAAAGGTAACTCTACATATGCTCCTGAAGCAGACTATGTCTATTTTCAAAGCTGATGTGGTAGAGCACAGGTACAGGATTAATAATTGAGAAATTGAGCTTGTACTGTGTCATCCCTTGATTTCTCCAGAGAAAACAAATATTTGCAAATACATTAATGACTGCAGCTTCATTCCCCTGGAGAATTCCAAATGTTTGAACAAAATAAACAAAGGGGAAGCATTTTAATTGACTGGTGAGAAATCTAAACATTGTAAATCCTTGCTTTGATCACCATGAGTTAGAGTGCAAAGCTAGTTGTGCCTGTTGCTAAATAAAACAAATAATGTTCTTTAGGGGTGCTTTGGAAATGTAGTAGTCAGTTAAATACACATATCAATTACCAATTATGCAATTGCATATAATAAACTATTAAACCCATTAAATATATGACTGGCAACAATGAGTTAGAAAAGAAACAAAGGTTACCAGGTCTGGCATGGTTCTGAAAAAGAAGCTCCTGTAGCATAGGTTTTGCCATTGTAAATACAGGAGCACTCCTGCTGGGGAATGCAGCCAGAATTGTTGATGTCATCAAATACAGTCCCTAGATTAAAAAAAAAAAAAGAAAAAAAGACAAAACCTTGATCAATTAAAGAGGCATTTCCTACGCACCATTTTATTTGTTACAAATCCTAAATATTTTCTTAGCAAGAGACCTGCAGTTGTAAGTGGACACACCAATGCTGAGGACAGCAGGACTGTCAGTTTGCTGAGGGAAGGATTCAACCTTTGTATTCCTAAATTCCACTTGCTCTGAAAGAGGGACTTTCAACCAACATAGGCGGCTGGTTGAAAGATTGGTCTTGATCCCTTTGCTGTTCTTTTATCCTGCTTTCTGCATATTGCACATGTATTGGCAATTAATTCAGACATCTTTGCTCAGCTGACACATGACAAATGCTTGCCACTGGCAGCTGTGAAAAATACAACTATATGAGGTTTAAATCCCATGGAACCGACAGGTAAGCTCTTGTTCGTTGAGATCAGAGATGTGAGTACTTAAGGACTTGCCTGGGGGGCAGAAACAGCCATCGATACAGTGTTCTTCACAAAACAGAGATCGTTCAGGATTCGTGCATGTGTCAGTACAGGGGGAGTTGCACTCCTGGTACTGCATGTTGTAAGGACACGTCTTGGCTGAAATTTAAAGGAAGAGAGTATTATTTTTTTTCAGTGAAAAGTATTTCTAGTTCTCGATACATTTATATCCATTTAAGTTTTAAAGCTAAATTTAAAAAAAAAGAAAAACACACCAAACTGCAATTGACTATAGCTCTCAAAATTTGCAAGTTTAACCACCTAAATCCCTATTTTACAGTTGAGATGTGCATTCCATGACTCTGGTGCTGAACTGGCTCAATGACTGGTTTTCTGTGGGCAGCAAGGTAATAACCTCAGAAAGCCAGCAAGGTCTGTTTTTACTGAGGGCTCCCTTTCCTGTGAACACCTGTACTGCTAGTGAAATGTAAGACCTAAATTCCTAAAGTTTAGTATATTTGCATTTTGAGATACCATCAGGAGGACAAATAGCACCTCATGGACTTAAATTTTGGAGCTGGTGACAGTATCAATAGTTACCCCATAATCAAGTATATGTTTAATCAATACAAATTCGTCACTATCAAGCAAGAGGAGATAAATAGGTGATTAGTCAGACATTCACCTGTGAAGATCCAATCAGTTAACTGAGTACAACGAATGCTAGAGCCATCATAAAGAAAAGAATCAGGAATACAAGCAAGCAAGTATGTATGCCTCATTCTTCTTTCTTGTTTCTCCTTTATTTGCTTCCTTCACTGTACCGGTTCATTAAATTACACTTTGACTCTCATTAGAGTATTCATGTTAGTGTTTTGCTAGTATTTAATTCAGTTTGCATTAAAATCCTTAGCTCTTTGGCTGAAATCTTCATGCTGGAACTTATACATCAGAATTTTCTAAAGGATTCAATCTTGAACAGGCTTTAACCCCTCCTGCATCCTCAGCGTTATTTGAGAGCCTGTTGTTGGTGAGTTACTGAGCATGAAGTAAGGCTGTCTCCAGGGATACTCACGGCACAGTTTTGAAGTTCTCCAGTCCAGGGGCTGCCCACCAGCATGAGCACACTGCCGGGAGTACTCGGCAATGGTGTCACAGATGCATGAGCTGTTTTTAGATTCTTCAGAGCTGCACAAGTCATCTTGGCAAGCCTTAATGTAGTCTTTAACATCAACTAGGTCATTACAGTCGGCAAATGCAGAGCTGGTCAGTGTTTTCTCGCATATGTCATCCTTTGGAGGAAAAAAATAGACAAGTCTCAGTAAATAGAAAGAAGTTGGGGGGGGTGGTATTGTTATTTTTTGTAATTATTATGTAACTTAGTCTTATAGCTCTCTTTAAGTTGTTGTTGCTGAGGACTTTTCCTATTGACCCATATAAAGTTGTAGAAGGGAACAGATAAATTTGAAAGAAAAATAAAAGGATAGTCAAAAGATCCTTACAAGATCATCAGAGCAGTTATATGTTGGGATAGAAGTGGCATCTTCACAGTGTTCTGTTGGCCCATCCATTTTCTGCAGATTCCCAAACTGCAAGGCTGTCATCTTAATATCTGTAGAAAAGAAGTTTAACAATGCAGATCAGAGGTTTTTGTTCAAAGCAACTGCCTGTTATATTTATTTTTTTCTCTCAAGGACTGGGGTCAAGGCTGGCCAAGACAGTTAGATCCCTTAAGCCTTTAAATGTGATCATCACCCCTTCCAAAGGAAGCACTACATCACTACCTCAATTTACTTTGTACAGCACCCTGGAAAAAGGAAACATTGGAAAACAATTATCAGCCTATTACATCTAGATACACACTAAGGTTTTTCCCAGAAAAATAACAAACTCTCTTCAGATTATATTGAGCCTATTCAGGGCAGAGGAAAAAAAAGATCTAAAGAGGAATTTGGACAATGGAGATTGTTGTAAGACAAGGTTTAAGAAAATGTTCAAGCTGGGAATAGTTAAAAAGATAAGATCTTACAAAGATTATGCAAATCAACAGGGAAATGTCAATATACTGATTGTGAGACAAAAATGAAACTAGAAATGTACTGTCTAGAAAATATAATTGCCTTTTGTTTTACTGAATATATTTCTATATTTAATTATCTTATAAATGCAAATCTGCTCATTTTTATGGAGTTACCTGATTACTTTTACCAGCATGGTTTACAACCGTGGCAAGCAAGAGATATGCAATCAGTTGTTAGCACCAGTACTATATTTACACTCAGAGCATTAACTTACATAATCTGATGTCTCTACTACATATTTTTAAATAGAGATTGAATCATGTCTTATGGGTAAACCATTTGACAGGATGGGAAAGAGGAATGCTGATGATGTCAGCTTGTTGGAGATCACATAAACCTTTTTTTTTTAATTTAAAACACTTACTGTTTGAAATGAACTCATTGTATATGGGAAAGCCATTGAAGTCACCACAAAGCCCACAAGTCTGATTGGCATATTTCTCATTCAATTCCAGCTAAAATGATGAATAATAAGTTGATAGAAGTTAGTATAAATATTCTAAAGTATATTCAAACCCAGAGAAAACAGTTGTACCTGCTGCCTCTTAGTATTTCTTGTCAGATCTGTGGAATTTTATTTAAAACATGAAGGATAGAATAAAGACTCAACTTAGATTTGATTGCAGAGTCCAAGCTATTGATACTATTGACACAGACTTCAAATTTCACTGTACTATCTATACTATTCTTAGCCACTTTTTACTGATTCTTCAGGAAGAATAGCAAATCCACAGGAAAAAAATGAAGGCATAGGAAAGTGAAATTCAGCTAAAAATGTATCTTTGAAGGGGTAATTAGGCCCTATAATAATACCAATAGCTAATCATACAATGAAAGTGATTTTTTTATCTTGTTTTAAGCAGATGCCTACCATCCACTAGGTATAAATCCATGTAATTTTCCTTAGGGCTACCTGGATACAAGCCTATCTTTACTAAGAAAGAATTGCTCAACAGTGGGAGATAAGAAGGCAGTAGCAACCCCCTAAACAGGTAGAGCCAGGCCTAATCAAAGATTAGCTCTGTTCTCTGAAGGGGTAAACAGGTCCAGGAGCAGTTCTTACCAGAATACTGTCCTTTTCATTCCACAATAACACAACACCGATTTTGCTGCCAACTTTCACATAAATGCTGCTCTTCTCCATCGTAATACCAGATTGACTATATGGCAGTTGAACTCTGGGAAAAGGCAGAAAGAATGCTAGTTAGCTTCTGATCCAAATGTTTGATAAGAAGGGAAAGTCTTGTGGTATCTGTCATCTGTAGGAATATTTTTGAGAAAGAAAATCAATTACAAAATGAGATGGTCCAGCGTTATCAAATATGGATTTAAATTTGGATCCAGCTTCTCAGAACATTTCATCCAAATTTTATTTTTGAGGCAATCCTTAAGGGGAGGATTTATTTTCCATGACAGGAATTAATAGCATTTTATTCATTATTTATTTTGGTAAAATTGTCAGATCTATTAAAGAACACATAACTTCCCCCCCCCCCCCCCCTCCCCCCCCCCCAGGCACACCAAAGTACTTGGCAAGATTGGGAAAAAAAAGCCTGTGGATACCTAAGAAGTGTTGCGAGTGAATTTACCTGTTGCCATCGACCATGACAGCATCTTTTGTTAGCTCGGCAACGACACCTTCCAGTTTCATGGTGATGCGGTTGATTGTCGGAGTGTTTGCCACCACTTCACGCCTAATCTGGATGTTGAAATCCTCATAGGGAGCGTTGCAGTGGGAGGCAAAAACGTAATTACAGAGCCCGGGGAAGGTGAATATGTCCCCGTCGAAGGTCTTGAAGTGGAACTTGCCCCACGTGCTGCACACACGGCCATTGTGAGCAGGATTAGCAGCTGTGAATTAAGACTGGCTGTTAAAAATGACTTAAAATCCCAGGCCTCCACATGGGGAAAATCAACTTGTCCAAAGCTTCATTTTCTCACGGAATGTTTTTTGCCTGCCTAGCTCCATTTGTTGTTTTCTATCTAACCACTACAGAGCTGTGTATTTATTCATCATTCATATCTATTACTCATATACCCTACAAATGGTTACAGTTATGCTCAGCTAGAGCTTAATTAGTCACCTTCACTTCAGCTAAGAAAACAGTTTATTTCTAATCACCATGTTTCTCCTCTGAATTACCCATGGTTTCCTTTATCAGTGCCTTTCCCCATTTATATCAAAGTCTTCTGTCTATACCCCCTAAAACTGAACACTTACTGAATACACTTAGTTTCCTTTACTTACGTGTTATTGCTACATTTGTCAGCAGTGATGGGAAGATGTTGAAGCTAGCTGAAATTCCGAAAGAAGCTAGAAAAGAAATAAGAAAGAAATCAAAAACTAGCATAACAATACCTAAATTTGCATGTAGGATAGACCCAGGAAGGACTAGAGAGTTAATATGCCAGACTCAAGGAAACAATGCGAAGCCTGTTCTATTTTACACAGGATAAAAGTAGATAGTAAAATTTGAGCTCAGGATACTTAAGTCATAAGAAATTGCCTTCAGCTGTGATGATCTGCATTTTTTACTTGGTAACTTTGACCCTTTTATGAAACTATGCTTCATTAGAATATTGGAATTCTTCAGAGACATGGAACAATACAAAAGGCTAAGCTGTACTAAATTAGCTTCTTACTGCTACAAAAGCATTGTTTCCTTCTCATTACACCTCCTCTTTCTAAGGAGGGAAGAAAAACTTTAATTATCACCTTTTCTCTGTATTATATTTTTCTGTTAAGGCACTGAAAACTCTTCAAAATGACCACACATTGGTTGTGCAGGACAGACACAAATCATTACATGGTAAAAGTCAGCGAGGATGGGTTGCCCTCTTGGTTACCCAACATTGGCCGCTGATTTCACAGCAGGCCAAAGTGGTCTCACTTCCTTTTTTTAAAAGGAACCAAACATCACTTTGGTGTTATGTGTACATGTTCATGCAGATATGCACACAGCCTCTGCAAACACAGCTATTTTCTTAGTTAACTATGATTATACAAATATAACCATACTGTATAATGTCTGTGTACTTAGTAACTGGTGTCTAGTAAATATATTGCTCTTCTTAGAGAGAGAGAGAGTTGTTAATACGCATTACTTTTCATCTGGAACCACTGGCAATATGCCAAGGAGGGTTTTTATTTAAGGCATTTTTATTATTCAGTATGGATGTAGCAAATAAATGCAAATATACAGCATAAATAAATGTACCATTCTGTTTCTGTAGAAGACCCCCAGAGAACTGACTTCCTATTTGGATTCCAATCTGACCTCCTGTGAAAAAAAATGTGAAAAGCATATTAAGAATAATATCCTGAACTTTTAAAGCAAAGCATTTAGCTAGGATCAAAGGACCCAGATAAAACTCCATAAAACAAAAGGGAGAGTCTCCTTTATCTTATCAGAGAAAATGAAACAGGCTCCTCAAGAAAGCTAAAATGCAGTTATAGAAAGAGACGTTCTATTGCAAATACTCAAAGTTTCTAATCCAAATAACATATATATTTTGTAATATGCTTTACAACATATTGTAATCCAAATAACATATATCTGCTTTCTGTGTTTCTCTCAAAATTCACTGCAAGAGATTCTAATGACAGGATAACACCCCTTATTTCACTGCTGCACTAGATCTCAGTAATATGTGAAACAATTCAGGAGGAATTCACAAAACGCAGGCAAATAATTTATTAAAATTATTGTGTAGAAGGTGGGTTATAAGAAAAGGCATGGAAGTGGTTAAAAGAATCAAGGGGCTTCAAGCTTCATCCAATAACGGCTGCGGATATTTATGACAGTTTCTCTAGTGTCTGAGCATAGGGCCTTTTTTCAGGGAGCAGATGGGAAGCCTCCATCACGGATGTAGATTTGCTTTACAGCTGGGTTCAAGGAGGTACCTCTGAGGGACAGTGCAAGGGCCATAGCCTGAGCAGTAACCCAGCAGTAACCTGATGAACCAGGTTTCCTGTTCTACCCATCTACTCAAAGATTGTTCAAAATCACATCTTCTCTGCAGAAAACCTTAAGCATCATGCTATAAAGCTACTTGACCAAGGGTTCTTGCTTGAACACCTGAAGCAAAGACTTTTGAGAGACGACAAGTATTCTTTGGAATGCTTTGATTCCTAGAAAAAGACTGACCCTGACCTCCTGGTTTGACGTTCTAAGGTCTTGGATTTTATAAGTAAATATACCAGGAATTTCCTGTAAAAATTGAAGGGCTACAACTTTATTTTGTGAAGGACTGAATGCAGTCAGGATGTGATAACTGTGCTTGTAACAGATTGACTAATAGGTACCTTTAACCTGCCAAGTCTAAATCCTCACAGGATTTAAGTGATGAAATGACTAATATCTGAATCCTTACCTGGATTATGTGAATGAGCACTGTAGGTTGCTAGCTAAAAGTTGCTGCAGTGTATGCAGTTTCTTTCAGCTTTAAGCTTTTAATTCTTTTCTCATTTAACTTTGTGCTTGACTGCTACTGATGTGCAAAGAAGTAACGTGGGACAGAGTTTAAGCATTTTCCATTTCCTGCTCATCTTTGATTATCATAGATAATAAAATTAGGTAAATGTATTCACATCATTATAATTTATACTGATTATATTAGATGAAAATATAATTGGTGAAAAAATTGATAAAGATCAGGTAAGAGAAATACCTCTTTAAGTCTACATAATAGGCTGAAGTTTGCTTTCACATTACACATCCATAGGAATCTCAGCAGGCATAGAATCACAGAAGGTTTGTTTATTCTAGTGTGGGAACCTTCGTAACAGAGCAAAATAGATCTATATATGTATTTTGTTCTGTTAATTTTTCTCAAGGAAACATCAGGAGCTTTTGTTTACTTAGCAAATACATCATTCCCAAGGAAATTCTACCTGCAGTGGTTTGTTTAGCAATTACAATTACACAATGCCACTTTGTTTACTGTTATGAAAATAAGTGTCTCTCGGTTGTAAGAAATTTACTATTTGATAATTAGGAAACTAACCTAATTATTAAGAATATTTGGATGCATCCTGCAAAGTCTATATCCAGCTGCTAATTATTGTTGTCACCAGTTTATAAAAGTTAATATTTGACACGAAATATAAAGGCAGTCACACGATATTTGCAGAGACGGCATGGGATGGGACCATTATTCTTTAGTCCGGATATCGGAAAATATTTCCCACTGGGTGTGTTTCAAATAAAGTGGTGTTTGCTGGGCACTGCCTAATCACCACTCATTTGTCAAAGCAGTTTATCAGATCAGCACTGCACAGGAGAAATAACTTTCTTGTTCCATGAATGGCTGCAAACATTTCTGACCGACATTGCATAACTCCAAACAGAAGTTTATACTCTACGAGACCGCTGTGTTTTCAAGCACAATAGAGACCAACTGGCCACTGATTCAGTGTTTATTTCACAAACTATAAAGCAGCCTTAAATTATATTTGCACTTTTTAATGTTTTGAAAATGACATGCAAGATAAATTTACCTAGGCAATCTGCAGATTTTAAAATGTCAGTTGACAGGCCAGAAATTACTGTACATGAACAGGACTGACTTATCAAGCCTGTACTCCTGCAAGTAGCTCCAATTTGATTGGTTCATAAACTTAACAGGGTTACTCATATTAATAAAAAATGCCAAGACCAACCCTGATTCATGTAACATTGAAAGGTTAAAAAACCCCATCCAAAATAATGGATTGTGGTCTCACATAAATCTCCCTGTTCTGCTCCTACTCAGTATCTGTAATTTATATAAATATTTTGTATAGGGTATTATAAATTAGTAACTGCACTATTAGTTACTGAAATTCCTTGCCATATGAATATTCCCTTCTGGTTTCTTTTGCAAAAGAAGTTGCGAGAAATGTTGAGAAATCTGATGTTAGCCCCTGATAGATGACAAAATATTGAAAAAGATTGACCAGTGGTCTAATCTAGCAAGTAGAAAATGTAGTGGCTTAGATTTCATAAGAACCATAACAATAATAATGAATTCTAATACAAAATGCAACAGGAATAAAATGCTTTTTAAAGTCATATGGGACACTGAAAAGCTGACATTTTAAGACATCAATAAGAGTTTTTTTGGATTTGATCTTCAAGGCTACTTTCCATATGTAGTTATAGTAGTATATAGAAGTTTAGTCAATATTAAATTGGTCCAGTTAATAGACAGATATTTCAAATGAAAATATATAAAGAAATCAGCCACCTCTTATACAAATCAATAAGTATAGTTGTTTAAAATGTATTACTAGTCTAAACAGAGTATTTTTTTCTTTTCCCAATAAAAAAGAAGATTTCTTACCTATTTGATGGATACAGCAAACTGCTAACAGGAAAGCCCATTGTGGTAGCAATATCCCCCTGCCAAACCCCATCTTGAGTGGAGTTTGGCACAAGGATGTTGGGTCTAAACTTGATCAGGACTGCAGTTCATCTGTGCTTTGTCGCTCTTATATAGTAGGTGACTTTGGCTTCAGTCCCAGATTGATTCAGAGAGTGTAGAAAGGTGAGGTTTGGGGGATTTTAGCTATTGAACAGGTAAACAGAGGATGCTCTTCCTTCCTTAGAAACTGGCCATTATTTGCATTTTGGGAGGAGTAAATACATTTACGTATGTACATTTTAAGATTCTATCTAGTAAAGAAATTATTGCAAATAAAATGCAATTCCTCCTCCACAAATAACAGGTCCTGGAACAAATTTAATTTGGTGTTGCTTTACAGTTATGCAGATGGATGGCAAGTAATTGTTTGAAGTTTTTCAGTACTACAACTGATGCCAGGCAACTCCTTGACAAAAAACCTCACTGATTTCTGAAGTTTGTTTCGGAATATTTAATATGTGGGGACCCAGCATCAAGAAGTCCCTCCATGCTTATTGAGACAGCTAATCTTGTAAAAAGAACAAAATAATAAGCTTGAAGGGTGCTGCAGTTTCACATGGCCACTCTGAGTATATCCCATGGAAACCCCTCTGTGTGGCGCTGACAGGTATTAGGCACCCAGCTGAGGGAGATTCACCCACACCTATCCTGTATTTGTTAGAGATGGCCTTAACCCTTAAAATCTTCTTTTCAGTTCTCTGGTTTTGCCTTCTCATAGAAAACATCAGGAGCCAGCCAGACAGCCAGTCTCGTAGCAGCTTTCTAGGACTAAAAAGATTGATTATAGTCTGTGATCATGATTACATTGTTTCAGAATCATTCTTGTTTAATTCCATTCTCATCCACAGAGTTATGAGAACTACAAATTAGTGAAACAGGCAATGAATCAAGGGTATAAGGCTTGCCAGT